GTTGAAATGAGAGGATGTGTGTTCATTAGATGATATTTGCGATCAGTCGACTTGTAAAACGGTTTGAACTTTCTTCCTTTGCTCTCTTTCTCTCTCTCTCTCTCTCTCTCTCTCTCTCTCTCTCTCTCTCTCTCTCTCTCTCTCCCTCTCTCTCTCTCTCTCTCTCTCTCTCTCACACAATCATTAAGTAGCTGTAAAATTAACTGGACAGAATTTTGAGAAAAGACACGTCAGAAAGACTTGCGGAATTATTTTATTTTGCCGGCGAACGGCAACGATATTTCAATTATTGTTTAGGAAGAGTGACGTTCGTGAAAGATAAAATCGCATATATGAAAAACAGAATTAACATTGGATGTATCTTCGCCGTTACATTGTTGATCAGTCAACAGTGTCACTTGTGACGCACGGATACGTCGACATAAAAAATTGCAGTTACCGGACACAAAAAATCGTGTCACTGGATTTGAAGGCTGTTATTCTGACCCGCGCGGTATGAAATAATTTTCCATGCTTCCTTCGGATATTTCGAACGCTGTGAGTGTCCGAGCCCGAGCCGGACGAGATAGTACGGTGCAGTCGGTGAAATGGAACAGTTGTACGGATTGTATCGTGATATTTTAGCAATTCGCAGAAGATACATTTTCCCATCGGATGCCGTATGTGTGCTCCGCGATCCACCGTGAGATAAACGTTACGGCTTGTCCGCCACTGGCTGTATTTCCTCAATTTACGAATGTTAATTAAAAATGCTTCTTCCCCGCGGAAAATCGCCTTCTGCAATCTCCCGCAAATGTATGACATATCCCGAGATCGTGTTGAATACGCGGGGCATAGACCTGAATAAATCGCCAGACTCAAATGCACGAAGAATCGTAACGCATAGCTTATTTGAATAATTACGAGGGAAATAAGCGGACGAATAATCTGCGCGAACTGAGACATTTAGGCGAAACGCTCCAACGAAGCGAAGAGGGAAGAGTTGTTTGGCCAAAATTACAACTTTTAGGTTAAAAATTTTAACAGCTATCGCGCGATACACAACTTGTCTCGTTATTTCCTCAAACCGCCTCGTTTATTCTTCGAGACGAAAACCTCGCGATCCTTTCGTCATATTGACCGCTTCGGTTTGTGAACGCCAACATTTTCCGGAAAAATTCTCCCCGAGGAATTTCCCTCTGCGTTCACGCGCGACGTATTTAGAGAGAATGTGTGGAAATAATCGGGGACACAAAGCCGGATAAACGACGAGACACTAAAATACACAAAGAATCATAACATGTGCGTCACGCTTGATCAATTGCCAGCTATTTGAAACATCATTGTATATATAATCATCTCGCGCTCCGCGTGAAAGTAATTAGTCGCGTTATCACGACAAAGCGTTTAAACGGCGCGTCGTGCGGCGAGAACACGCTTAGATTAGGTGGAACCGAGTTAAGTGATATCACAACGTATTTAAAAATTTAATTACCCGTCACACACACACACACACACAAAATACGTTCACGCGCCGCCTTATGCGAATTGTCGCGCGTAATTACGCGGCGCGATTTATCTTGCGAATCGGCGGCGCGCCGCGTTCAAACGACACGCTCGCCTACTCCAATTTTATTACGCGTGTTAAATACACGCGCCTCCACACATGCGCGCAGACGCACATACACGCACTTGCGCACACGCTTAACGTTAATCTGCCTCGCATACCAACAACGGTCGGGAATTCCTTTCGGCTAGCTTTACGCAGACCGTGCTCCGCGCGACGCTCGTCGTTTGGATGAAATTTATCAAACACACAGCGCGTAATTACATTCTTTAAACTATATGTAAATTGCACAGCGCTCGCCGTGTCTGCCATCTCCGTCGGCCGCTGGCGAGAAAAGATAAAAAAGAACGCGAATGATGTATGTATGTGTATCGACGTGCGCATTGATTGCCACGCTGATCTTCACTGATTATTTCGATCAATACTCGACTCAAGTTCGAATTACCAAGGATGCGGCAAAAGAAAAAAAGGAAAAAACAACTCGCGATGCGTGTGTTTGTTAGGTCGTTCCGTTGGCTGTCTATCGGCTACACAAGATGACCTACTTAAAGTGCCCGCTGAAAGTATCTCGGAAGAAATGCATTAGCCGTGATAACGTTTCGCATAAAAGTTGTTCGGTCTCAAGAAGCACAGTCGGCACAGTCGGTGATGCACCGCTTGTATATTTAAAGAATATTAACATATGGACAACAGTTAAGACGTCCGGATATATAGTTACAAGAAGAAGAGAAGTAAGCGTGTTAAGAAGGGTAAATAACAACGTTTAATCGTATAAAATTAATACAAGGTGTTAATTAGAAGCTGTAATGCACCGAGAGAAAAGTATCTAAAGAATAAACAAATTGTCGGTGAATATTAGTAACATATTTATTTATGCTAATATTTATTTATGCTAATATATATATATTCTTTTTTACTGAAAATAATTTTTTTTAGTGAAGAGACATCTTTTCTTAAATCGGTAACTTCTCACGAAAGCGATTGTTTATTCGACTTAAATAAGAGAATTTGGATTTGCGTGAATGTATATTTAGTTTCCGCCAAATAAATATATCTTCCACTTTTTACCACATATTTTTTCTCTCGTTGCTTCTTTGCAATTTTCATGTAATTAATTAAGTGTACCAATTATATGAGTTATTATATAAATTATATAAAATTATATAACGATTAATTGCCTTTCGCTGATGAACGGATTACGCCCTTCTTGTAGATACAAACGAAACGCCAAGCTGTCAAAGTGTCGCGGCTGGTTTGAAATATCGCTCCCGGTTTTTCAATTAGTCAATAGTCCACGAGGGACAGGTATCTATAAACGAATTTGACTGGTTGAAAAGTTTTAATATCCCTCGACCTAATGAATAGGTAGCCGCGTCGATGAGTGTCGTACAGTCGTCGAAATGGTTTAAATACTTTTTTTCTGACAAAGTCAGCATGTCTGACAATTTGAGGGTTAATATCGAATGTCTGTTTGTTCTTCGATCTGTGCATTCATCTTTCAATTTTTTTAAAACCGTTCATGGGAAAATGAAACTAAATTCATTGAATGGCACTTTAGTTATTCTTGAAGGAGTATTATAAACAAATCAACATTTTTCCATAAATTAGAAGAATACGTGACGCAGTTGAAACGCCAAGTGTCAAGCTTCCCAATGAGATCAACTTTGCGTATGCGTAGTCTAACACGTATATTATTAACTCATCAATTATTATTATCATTAATTATTATTTATTATTGTTATTATTTCATCAATTTCTTCTCACGACGAGGTTACTTGTTCACTAATTGCGGGACGTTCACCTCTATCAGTGACTCACAATCGCAATCATTTTACGCGCTTCTTCATCAGAAGAGAAGAGATCTTCAAAGCGTCTCGTAAACGAGTGTACAGTTCCAAAATCGGATTGGAGCCAACTGATTTCCTATTTTTTTATAACGCGTCCCAAAGCACGACAACGAGCAGGTCGCAAGATCGAACCGACGTGACTCCCGACGCATGCCCGCGACCTACTCCGGATCTTCCCCCGAGTCCCTCGCGTTCGAAATCTCCGTGGCGGGTACATCCCCCTTAATGCAGTGTCCCGACGGTAGCACCGGTGGCTCGCGGAAGAGACTTGCAGCATAAAAAGTGCCGCGGTGGAGAATAAGAGACGAAGGAGAGAGGCAGATAGAGAGAGAGAGGGAGAGAGAGAGAGCCTTTGTTCGTCTCGGGCGGAGTAAGTTCTGTCCCGGTATAAATGAATCTAACGAGTCGATCGAACAGCGGCCTGATATCCCTTACCGAGGTCCAACGCGGAGTCGTGAAACGAAAAGATCGAAGTTTTAAGACCGCCCGTTTTATTCCGTCCAAGAAAGAGAGAGAAGGAGGTCTCGTCCCGCGTTCGGCCACTTTCCGGATGTCTTCGCGTGAAAAGAAAAAAGTAGGTCGCGAAGATCGAGCGATCGTTGAGTTCGCCTCGCGGACGTCGTCCTGCGAATCGAAGTCTCCTTTTTCGAGGAGCTTCCTCGACAGACGCACGACCCTGATTTATTCAGTGGCGAAAGCGAAAGTGGAATTTCGCGATGCGACACGAAAGTGTCGAGCGTCCCGGCGAGACGGCTAATCTCGTTCGCGACATTTCCACCTCGCGAAAGGATTCAAGGATCAATAGGGTGATGTAAACCCCCTGAAATGGAGTCGCGACTCTTCCGTTGAAGAATCCCCGCGAACGCTCGTCGAAACGCGAGTAAACGTCCGATGATGAGATGTTCCTTTTTTATTTATCCAGCAATTTTCATCTGTCCATTTTTGATTCTCTTTTATACATTGAAAGATCTTTGAAGATTACTAAAGATTATTATAACTATCGTCGCCATTGTCATTATTATTATTATTATTATTTTTGTTGTCGTTATCTTTCGGAATTCTAAAGAACGTTGAAAGAAAACTGGTCAGGCCGCCGACGCGTCACCGACTGAGGGAAAAAACAAGAAGCAAAACACTACCCACGGCTTCTCGCCGCGACAAAGATTGCTGCGACGAATCTCGTCCTGAACTCTTCCGTCTCGCGATCTCTGAGGACCGACGGGCTGACAGCAACTCCTCTGACCGACTCTACGTTTTAACCCGTAACATTCTTCGCGAAAATTCTCTCGGCTCGCAGACAAAACATCCGGCTGAATCTGCCGGGCTCTCAAAAGTCACCTCCGACGACGGGCGAATCGTGACGCTTTCTGTCGCTGACGAAAATCCCGCCGGCTCCTCGCGGGACGTGAGATCGCGGACAAAAGGACAAGGAGACAAACGCGGACTTTGCACCTTCTCGTCCCGGACACTTCCGCCTCAACAATCTTGCCAATCAACTCTCACGCGGAGCTCCCGCGCGAGTCGCGAGCGAAACCTCGCGGCCGATTCTACCGGAGTCTCGATTTTCCTCGAAAAGCAAGCCAGGGACGCTTCTCGAGCGAACTCACCGACGTGTAAGCGACGAGGGCGCAGGAAACGAAAGGAAAAGAAACGGAAACGGAGAATTCACTTTTGGGGCCGCGACACTTCCGGTCGACGCGGCGAAATAAAGCAGTAGCAGTCTCAATGGCGCTCGACGGCCTCGCCGAGCGTCATCATCACGGACGACTGAAAAATCGGCGTGACGCGGCACTGCTCGACGCTCGCTCTAATTCGGGGTCGATCTCGCCGCGACATCGGCGGACTCGCGCGCACCCCCGGCCGCATTTTCATTCATCGTTTCCGGCACGGCACGTCGTAAGGGCACGGCGGACGCGGTCGTGCGTCCTCCTCGCGAGCTGTGGCTGGCTGATTCGGCCGGCGCCGCGGATCAAGCCGCACTGCTCGTGCCCCCGAACGGGGGAAACGCGGCCGGCTGTTTCCACCACCCTCCGCCGGTGGCGTTGCCATCGGTGAAAACAACCCCCCGGGCTGAGCCATGGGCTGGCTGGCTGGCTGGCTGGCTGGCTGGCTGACTGACTGACTGGCTAGCTGACTGGCTGGTTGGTTAGATGGCTAGCTGGCTGGCTGGACGGACGGATGAACCAGGGAGATATGTCGCGTCGCGTCGGTTAACCAACTCCTCCCAACAAGCACAGGATTGTAAGGGAGGATGTCATGAAATGACCAAGAGAGTGTCCAAGCGGACGGCGGGAAATGCGTTCAGTGGCCGGCACTCTTTGCGTGGATGATAATAATAACAACAATAACAATAACAACAATAATAACAATAATAATTTTTATATATACACACTGATAGAAAAATATAGTTAAATTAACTGTAATCTCACTATATTTTATAGTTCATTTTGGCGTCAACTATACTTTTATAGTTCGTGGAGCCTGCAAAATATAGTAGAATAAACACAAATATATAGTCAATGATTGTCTTGAATAATTGTTTAGTTACTTTTACCACATATATGGTAATTTCTCATTCACTGATGTAGTGAGACTTAATATTCATATAGTTACATCTGTCATTTAGCAAATATTCTGGTAATATTGACTATATAAAAGAGTTACTTTACCTACCATTTTATATTTGTATCTATACAATAATTTTAGTTTAACTTACTATAATTCTTAGTAAAAATATTATATGGTTGGTTATACTATGCCTATATCGTAATTATTACCGATATTATGGTAATACTTACTATAAATACAATATTTCGGACTATAATTTAGTTACTATATCATTATAGTTCCAAATATCATATACTTTTCTCTCAGTGTATAATAACGGGGAGGAAATTTCTATTTTTATTTTCAATTTTTAATTTTAACGGGCAGAACTTACCAGTTTATATCAACTATTGAGGTGTATAATAATTAAAAACAAATAAACAAGTAATTAATAAGCAATTAATAATTAATACTTGATAATAATTAATAATTAATAATCAGTAAATAATTTTTTCTATATTTAATTTAATAATTGATAAGACCCGGTCGAGAGTGCCACTGAATGTTTTCCCTCAAGTGCGAAAACAAATAAAAGCCACACTGTTGTTCGGTCAAAAAGTTAATGAAAAGTTAATGAAAAGAGAATTCACTTTTGCATTCAAATCGAATGTTTCGGACCGATGCTTCGAACTCTCTATATAGGATGAGACCGGGGCGTTTGATTTGAATGTATTACAAAAGCAATTTTTTTCTATTATGCATTAAATTTCTCTGGGACAATAGGGACAGACTCGTCTCCACATTTACTTGTCTCCACATATTTGATTACTTATCATGAGAGAGAAAGAGAGTCTATTTATTTGATATAATTGCCTTTGTGCGCGGTTCCCGAAACTACGTTCTACGGGATGTACGTTCATTAGAAATTTGTCGAAAATAGATTTGTGGGAATCATTGACACGCTTGCGTGAGTCCAAAGAGGCCTCCACGGTGGTTCGCAGTCTTGATCAAAAGTTGGACGACTTCAATCATCAAATGGATGCTCGTTGAATCTTTGCGCTTTCGTGTTCCAATAGACAAAATATGTTTAAAAATATACTTTAATAAATATATATCGTACATATACATACTTTTTATATATTTCATATATAAAATAACTGATAACGATTATATTTATTATATAATTGCACTCGTACACGTCAAATCTGTTCATAATAAATGTAATATAACGGTAAATATAATATGACAGTATTATTTTATAATAAATATTTTAACGGAAACTGCATAGGTAGAACATATATTTATAAGTAATTAAATTTGCACTAATTAAGTTTATATAGTTTTTATATATTTCTATGTATTAGATCTAATAGTTCATTCTTTCCGATTTTTAATCTGTATTTAAAAATCAATAGAACACACACACACACACACACACACACATATACAAGATTAATCAATGAAATATTTTCCGTTGTTATCGATGACCTTACGCCATTTATTGGGCAATTGCCAGATTCCATCACGATGGAAACTTGGTGGCTTTGAGGCTAAAGTCATCGATGAAATTTCGTACATCGTCAACTGTCGAAAAATCGAAAAATGAATATTAGACAGTACATGTTGTATCGACCGAAACAAGTGAAAGTTTGATGAAGCCAAGTCTGGAGAATACGCCGCGTGTGGGAGAACTTCCCAGCTCAAATGTAAGATGGTTCCCTTTGTTACTTCTGTTGTATGTGGTTTAGCATTGTCGTGCAGCAGGATGACTTTACGGCTGCTTTGTCCAGTAAATGGCCTTTTTTCTCAATTGCATCGTTCAAACGTATCAATTGTTCTTGATAAATCTTTACTTTAATGGTTTTACTCAGTTCCAAAACTCATAGCACACTTTTCTGATCCCATCTTATACAGAGAAAAATTTTTTGTTCGAAACGTTTGGGTTTTGTTGTCAACGTTATCGGTTGACCGAGGCCTATACATTTTTGCGTTTCCTTTTTTGCGTTTAGGATTTCATAACACAATCTATAATATTTTTCGTCACCAATTGCGATTTTGTCCAAAAAAAATTTTTTTTTATTGTCTAACGAGCAAAGTAATGCATGTGGTCAATCGGCGATTTTTATTGTCGACCGTTAGCTCGTGTGGAACCACTTCCCTTCTTTCTGTATTTTTCCCGTACGATGTAAACGAACGCAAATAGCTTTTTGGCTTACTCCCAGCTTTTCCACACGTTCTTGTTGTGTTTGTGCCCTATTTTCATTCAGTAGATTCCATTCAGTAGATTTTGCAACCCCTCGTCTTCAAATTTTTTTAGCTGACCGAGACATAGTTAGTCATGAAGATCAAAATCATCACTTTGGAAACGTTGAAATCAGTTTCGACACGTGCGATCGGTCACAGCATTTTCACCATAAATAGCGTAAATCAACGCTGCTTCAGGAGCGTTTTTGTTTGAATGAAATGCGAAGTGCATCGCGTATCGAATATGCTTTTTGTTGATAGTCATCGTGAACACTACTGATTATTTGAGGTTGCATCAAACGCCAAATTATATGTCATTTTGCAAAAGAGTGGGAGAATAATTCAATTTCAAATTTTGCTCTGAGCTACGTAAATTTCATCGGAAAGAATTAACTACTAGGCTTAATATTGTACATTTGCCCCGTATGAGATTCCCTCATTTTCTGAGGCGCTTATTGCTTCCAACGTGGAAGTTGTTATTTTGTGACGGCTACCGTATCGCAAGTCATTGTTCTACTTTAGGACATAATCCGTTGCATATGACAAACTAAATATGTAAATTGCATTTATTCATCGTGTCTTCCATTTTTTAATTGGCTTCAAAACGACCAAAACACTAACCAAATTCCTCGTTTTGGAATAATCAACGGAAATCAGCGTGGCGGTCAGCGTATTGATAAGAATGCAATATCTCGCAAAAGGACGAGGAGTCACTCTTTGTGTAGTTTCGCGTTAGATGTTCAGACATTTTCGAATGCATGATGTTTTTAGATATTCGCGCGAAGCGCCCGGGATTAAGTTACGCTCTCTATTTTCTTTTTTCTTTTGGTTTTTCTTTTTTTTCAATTTAGATTACGAGTTCGGCACGTTGTGCGATGCAGGAAGCGGGAGGAAGAGGCAAAAAGTAACGGAGGTTTGTCGTTGTTCCATTCGAGCTTGATGGAAAAATAACAAAGCCTCTTCGCAGCAAACCGATACTTCCATCCTTTTACGTCGCGACGAATCTCTGATTTCGCTATTTGTACGTGTTTCCCCTCGTTTTCTTTATTTCAAACAGACTATAGAATTCTCCTCCGCATGTAGCGTTAAAAGCGCATAGAGGGGTCGATCGATTAGTAACAAAAAAAGACAGAAGAAACACTTACCGAGCGAATTACGTTAGTTCGGTGAAACGGCGCGTTCAACGCGCGTCTCTGAGCGTCGATTTTTCTTCCTCATCCGTTATCGAAACGTACACCTTAACAGCTGCGATTCAGTTCTCCCTCCCCGCACCAATCCCCGGCTCGCCTTTGATCCGTTGAATGCGCGAGAAGCACGGCCGAAAGAGGTGGAAGGATCCAGCGTCAACCGCCCTCTCGGAGGTTTTTATTCTTCGTGAACTACGGACGCGGTGTATAACGCGAACCCTCGACGCGTTTATCCTCGCGCGGGAAACGACGCGAATACTCGAGGAGATTTTCCACGAGGCCGATTTCGGTCGCACTTGCCGGCTCGCGTCGCAAAGTGAGAGCCATTTACACGGTGATCGTAGTTTATTGGCTCTCGGGGGATGCAACTTCTCCCATCTTCTTCCTCTTTCCTCTTCTATCTTTTTCTTCTTCTTCCTTCTCTTCTCCACCGGTGCGGCCGAGCGTTTTAAAGTTCCCGCGAGATCGCTTCCCGCATCGATCTCCCCTTGCGACGATTTCAGATTTTTCGGCAACTTCTTACTTCCGTGGAGCACGAGAAATGGGGCCTCGAGACAGGAAACGAAGCGAACAAGTTCCTCAGTTTTCTCGGGTTAAGCCTTGAGTCTCGATGAAATTTTAATTCTGACTTTGATGTCCGAACTGGCACACGCGCGGTTTCTTCGCGCTCTTCCGAAGAAATCTGAGACACTCGATTTTGACCGCGGTTCACGCGAGCCTGACGCTTAAGAAATTAGCGAAGCTGATAATTAGAATACCGAGGATATGGACTGAGGAATGTAGTGTAAAATATTGCAGTAATGGTGGGTTAAGATATTACATTCTCACGCAGGCAAAGTGATGGAAAATTTTATTCAGAACGCAGGTCATTTTTTACTTAATGTGTCTCTCTCGGATTAGAGGTCGGAAAGTTGCGAGCGTGGAATTTTCGAAATTAGAGAAGTCTGAGATTAAAGATGGAAATGTCAAAAATATAAACTGGGAAATGTACTGTAAAATATTACACTCCTAAATTAAAATATTGCATCCTCTTTCTCGTAAACGGGATTATGTGCCATTTTATTTAAAATGAA